CAAGCAATTGTTCAAACAGCTGCATCCTTTTATACAATGGCATATATAAAAGTCAACTCACATAAATCCTTTTTAACCTCAAATACTAAATCTACTATATATATCAATTTCATGAACCAATCGATTCAATCAAAACCAAACAATGCTCCTTTTAAATTTTTAGGCTGCTGGTTCACAGCTGCTCTACAATACACAATACAAACTAAACTAATACAACAAGAAACACTTGGACTTAACAATATACTTAAAACTAAAAATGTTACAGACAAACAAGCCACTTATATTATCAATACTGTAATTATCCCAACCTTAGAGTATCGTATATATAATACAGTGTTATCATATACAATATGCAACCAAATTACATCACAATACATTACTATAGCGAAACACAAAGCTAAACTTTCAATATCTACACCAAATAGCACACTACTTAATCATAATATATATGGTATTAAAAACATATGGGATATACAAGCACAACATCACATATCAAAATTTCAACTTCGTATTAATGACTCAAGTTTAATAGGCATTAGTACTTATATTCGACTTCAACAATTGCAAAACAATTTATGGTCAACAACTAATATCTTACAACATTCTCACCCATATATAGATGGACCTAACAAAAATACAACTACTTATAAAATAATACAACTGCTTAATAAATTTCAGCTAACTTTTTTAGTCAACTCTAATATTCTTAAACCTTATACAATCCAATATCTATATACACCAATCGAACAATTTCTTACTACATACAAACTTTATATACAATTCAAAAAACAACTATGTACTAAAGAAATAATGTATTTTGAACAACTAATATCATATGATAACTTGGTATTACTTGACTAAAAACATATATTCCTAAGAATTCAACACATACCTAAAGGCTGTAAGCCATTATGATTTACTACTTTAGAAAACACAATCATTGCCAATTATCAATCTAGATCAATTAGTTTCCAATTACAATTATCTCACACTAACTCTATTTCATTTACTACTGGTCATTACAAAAACACACCCAAACCTTGGATAATTGCTTATGATCACAAACATAACAATATTACTATAGGCAAAGCAAGAAAATACAATCAAACAAAAGACACAATCTCTATAACATACTGGCTAATTGACTTTGATATCTCACATACCCACCTATACCCTCCAGTTAACTATACCTGTAAACAATGCACGAGGTGCTACCTCAACTTTAATCATATACAAAACAAATGCATATTTAATATTCCTACCAACTTTACAACCAAATTCTTAGGCAGAAAAGTTAACTCCAATTTGTCTACTACACTTAATCTTCATGCAAATTTACTTGATCTATTATATTCTATTGTACTACGAAATCCTACTACAATACCTCTACAACCTAATATTATTATATACAATAATGTCATACCTGATATCTTTGTACAAAATCAAGCTACAGAAATTCTTTAACAAATTTCACAAAACAACTTACACTACTCTTAGTTCACATTTTATACAAATGGTTCTTTAAGCAATATTACTAATGATAGATGCAAAATGGATATTGGTTGGATTCAAATTCAAGATGAGACTATATTGTATCAATATTCAGCAGAAATTAAACTTTGGCTTTCATCATACAAAGCAGAACTTACAGCAATCCTCTCCGCTGTTAGCACATGCCCAAAACAGAGTACTATTACTATTTATACTGACTCATAATCAATAATTTCTAAATACAATAAGCTCATACAGTCACCACCTACACCTAACAAAATATACTTTTTTAACTATTGGCCAATATGGCATACACTTCTAAACTTTATTACTGCATATCAAATTCAAATTAACTTTCAAAAAGTAACTGCATATAGTAGTAATACGCTAAATAACATAGCTGACAAACTAGCTAAAAACCAAAACCAACTACACACACTTAGTCTTCTTCATACCAATATATATAATCCATCATATTATCTCTATTATGACAAATATGTCATAGAACAACCTACATGTAGAACTATTAAAAACATCAGCAATGCCTACAATATAGCAATGTGGTCTTCTCAACACTGAATGGAAAACATTCTTCCTCTATCCTTGCAAATTAACTGGAATGCTACCTGGCTTTTCCTTAACAACAATCACAAAAGATCCACATCTTATACCAGTTTTACTTTATGTCAAGAAAAAACATTCAAAATCAAGTTGATGCTAGGAATACTACTTACATTATCTCATCTACACTTTCTTTATCCAACAACATATCCTAATCTCAACTGCATTTTATGTAATACATATGACAGCCAGCTGCACTGGCTAACCTGCCCAAACTCAGCAACACTTAACTTAACTATTACCAATACGATACAACAATTCTTTAATTACTTACGACTAGATATAACAACTACACAACTACAAGAACTACACAACAAACTTACTAATTATCCATGTCTTTCTTCAAACAATCTCATTAGAAACCATACCAATATATATACAACAATACAAGGCTTTGTTCTACTCTTACTAATTGATACTATAAGAGAATATACAACCAGCAATCAGCTAGTAACTGACATTATAATAAAATTTCTAATTCAACTATTACAAAACATCTACAACCAAATTTGGAAACCTTATTGTATCAAACTATCTGAATGGAAGCAACAAAACAATATTCCTAACCAACTATCATGTAACCAACAAACAAACTATACAAACATATCTAAACCCTTAATGCAAACCAGGACAGTATATACTTACAGTTGCACTTGTAGTCTTCTCGACCAACAACATACTGGAGACTTTTACAATTCTTATACTTGCCCACCACAAGGAAAAGCTAATAAAAAATTAACTAAATAGATATCCGAATGAATAAACTACAGTACCCCAACTAATCATATTTTACATTATCAAATCTAGGTGAGTTTTAACCATTCTAGTAGGTTTAGGTTGCAGATAAATTAGATAAATTAGATAATAATTTTATCTATAGTCTGAGTCTCATTCTTGTAAAAAATTTGTAAATTGGCTTTGGCCTGTGTCAATTCATGTAGTTGCCCATAACAAATTATTAATAAAGATAAAGACAAAACTTTACCTTAATACCAAAAAAAAAAAAATAAATAAAAAAAATAGATAAATTTAAAAAAAAATTTTAATCAAAAAATTATTTATAATTTTTAATGAACTCTTTAAATATTAACTTTAAACTTATAATTTTTAATATAATATTTTAATTTATATAAAAGACAATAATTTTTATTAATAATACTTTTATAATTTATTTCTAAAAATTTAGATTTATACAAAATATAAATTTTTTTTTAATTTTGAAAATATATAAAATCTTAAAAAATCTTAAAAAATTTTTAATAGTAAATATTTTTAAATATAATCTTTAAAATTTTAATATATAAAAGTTTATTAATATTTTAAAAAAACTTTATAATAAACTTTATAAAATATGTTCTTTAAAAATATATTTTATAAAGAAATATGATAATCTAGTAAAATGATCAGATTGTCAATCTTTAAATAATAAGTTGGATGTTCAAATCTCATTAATGACAAAAATTTAAATAATTATCTATATAATATTCATATTATAGCAACTGTTACTAATGATTAGATTAAAATACCTGTAATAATAATTGCATTAGCATAAATAACAGGTTATAAGATATTTGTATAACTTATTTTACAAAAAAATACAAACTAACAAATAAGATGATACAAATACTAGATAAGTTCTTGTAGTCATATAAATCTATTAAAATTAGATAACAAAAAGTTTATTTGAAAAAACTTAATTAGAGAGGTAGTTAGATTTTTGACAGCTCTACTGTAAAAACTAGTCTAAAAAAACAGATACTAAGGTCATAATACCTAATTATAGTAATCAAATAAGCAAAAACCTTCAGGTTAAGAGTCTTAGAAGTACTACCAATCAAAACATCAGAATGAACTAAATAAAAAAAATATTAGACCAATCTGATATACCAATAGACTGGTCATAGTTCTATATAGGCAATCTGTATACTAAAGTATCAGGATTATACTATGAAATAGATGTTAGAGTCTGTGTGAATTCTACAAAAGTGCAGTAACTAAATAATATAATTCTGACTACAAGTATTGATTTTGCTATAGTAATATCTAGATTAGTTGTAAAAATAAGTACAGAAGATTCTGAAATGTTTATCTTAAGAATAAATTAGTCTTAAGATTAAGATAATAATCTGAATATCTGAGTATAACCTAATAAGTTAATACAGATTACAAGTTTAGAAGATTTAAAGTAAAACATCCAAACAGGTATGTTAGATATAACAATTAGTAAAGAACCTTTAGGCAAACTTCTTAAATAGGTAATATAAAAAAATTATATATGTAACTAATTGTACTTTCTCCTGTAATGGTTTATAAAATCACATTATCAATAAGTTGTTAATAAAAATCAAAAGACCAAAAAGATTATCTTAACATCAAAAAATATATATATATATATTTTATAAACAACATATATCTCATATCATTAATAAATTTTTATTTTATTTAAAAAATACTAAATACAATTTAATTTTCTAAGCAAATTTGCCTGAAATATAATTTAAAAAATAACAATTTTTAAATTAACTTTTTAATATTAATTAAAATATTAATTATAATATATATATAATAAAATAATTATATAAAATAACTAATTTTAATATTTTTTAATAATATTAATCAATTAATCCTAATATTTTATATAAAATTATTTATACTAAAATTTCTATATAACTTTAAAATTTGATAAAGTTTAAATAACTTTTATTAATGAATATTCTTTATTTTCGAAGTCATGATTTAATTTGCTGATCAACATGTGACATTATGTAACTTACATGTAACAAAAATGTCTAGAATTATCTGATCAGCTTTCTATACCATAATAGGTGCGATCGACACTGCTCGTATTTAGTATACCCTGATTGAATTAACATACTATCTCTTGATACTTTTCGCCCAAGCTTCAACATCTACATTGGCCTCAGCCGAAGCTTTAACATATGGATATTTCTATATATATATATTTTTTTTTAAGAAAAATAAGTTGTTAGTGGATTCCTTTTTAAAAAAAATCGAAGGATGAATTTTCCTCACCAATAGATCATTGGGTGCTGGCCGAATTTTTACATCTTTCAACAAACTATTAAAGAATATGAAAGGTTAAAATGCATATAATGTTTTAAATATAAACACTACATGTATATCACATACCACTGATTAATGAAATCAGAAAAGTCCTCAGGGAATTGACCTGGCGGTAATTTGGGTGCTGGTTCGTGTACAATGTGTTGTAAAAGCTCCAAAACAGTAAGCTGACTACCATCTGGAGGAAATGGAAACCGACCCATCGCCAACTCCATCAAAGTAATACCGACTGACCAAACATCCGATCGTACGCTGTATGTGGCTCCTTGGATACGTTCAGGCTATGGATTCAGTTAAGAATAGAATTAATAACGTAAACTTTATTTTTATTTAATTTATTTATTTTTAATAGGATTTAATGCAATTGGATTTGTTAAAATTTGATGTGATTGAAAAATTCTGACATCATATCACTTCTAATATCAACTTACAGACATGTAATTTGACGTTCCCACAAAAGTATCTGCGATTGAATTAATAAGCTGACCAGACACTCCAAAATCACATATTTTGATTTGTCCTTTTGAATTGACAAGAATATTTGATGGTTTCACATCTAAAATCATAACAAAAAAAAGGTTTGTAAATCTAATTTTTATTGCCGTATGTTAAAACCTCAATTACCTCTGTGAATAATTCGATGACTTTCATACAGATAGTTAAGACCTTCTAAAACCTTTTGATAAAAAACGATTTGAGTTTTATGGAATGTAAATTTTGAAAAAGATTTTCATTTCAATAAATTTACCGCTATTGTAATCTTGCCAATTATATCCAGAGGGATGGGCCCATTTTTCTTATAAATATTATCAAGTGAACTATGATAAAATGTAAGCCAATTTTAATTGGCTAAATAAATCTTCAGAGCAGGCATTAATATACATATGCAACTTTACCCAACATCCATGAACTCCATACACATCGAAATACCCGCATCACTCGGGAATGCACCATAAAATGAAACAATGTATCTTGAATTACAATCATGAAGAACTTGGAGTTCTCGTTGAATTTGTTTGCGAACGGCCGGGTTAACATCAATGTGAATAATCTAATATAGTGAAAAATTTATATTAGCGTTTTTCTAATTAGGATCGCTTGATCCCGACATGTTACATGAACTCTGAGTTGTTATACCTTCTTAGCCATCACAGTCTTAGTGGTAACGTGCATGACTTGCGTTACCGTGCCTCCATTGCCTGCACCAACTTCTCTCAATGGCAGCAAATCTTCTGCTTTTAAATCCAGTCTGAATTCTAAACCGATTTCTAGATCGTTCAAGCTTTGAGTAAGTCCATCTTCTTGCGATCCATTTAGCGATTGCTGAGAAACAAGGGGAGAACTAGTACTATTAAGGCTTAATTTTACATTTCTTTTTTTTTTTAAAGATCTACTTCCACTCTGTTCGATCATTACGTAGATTTTAAGATTTTGTCTGGAATATTTGGAAAGCAGGAGTTTTAATGAAGTGGAAAATAAAATAATTCTATAGTGCGAATGAATAAATGACAAATGAGTAAGAAAAAACAAAGAGAAAGTGGCCTAAAGGAAGAAGATTGCGAGCAAATGTACCGTAACGAACCCTCCTCTTTGTGGACTTCTTGCAACGGTATATATTGATAAAATTAATCAAAAGAATGGTTGGTTCAACTTAAAAATTTGGTTTATTTGGATTGTCATTCATTTGCTGATTCTTTGATGCGATCAGTTATCCAATCAAAATTTGGATGTTTACCAGAATGCATTTCGCTGATATTAAAGCATGTATAAAGCTCATCGTTGCAGAAATGTTCATTCAATTGGCTTAACAAGCGCTTGTATGAACATTCTCTTGACACTTGCTTGTCATTCGACTGACGCATGACATCTCCGCGTCTAGCTTTTTCAACGATCTTTGTGATGTCTTATTATTGTTCGTTACAACATTCTGTAATATAGAAACAAAGGCTTAAGCATCAGAGCATCAATGAATTTATTGGTTCTTTACAACAACATTGCATTGCAAATAACCTACTCTGAATAGAAATTGGTTTAATAATATAAAAATGGTATTAAAGGTTGGCACCATTTTTTTTTTTTAATATTAATGGTAAGGCCATGCCTCTATCTTTATTTTTTTTAAGTAGTCATACTAATATTTTATTAAGATTTTTTAATTATATTGCAAGTACATAAAACTATTTAATATTCAAACTTAGCATTATCTGGTCATCTACTTGGTACTTAAATACAACTTGTGTTATGTTTTTTTTTTTTTTTAAACTTAAGCAGTCACGCTAGTACTTTATTAAGATTCTTGAAATTACTTTTGCAATTATATAGATTTACCTAACAACTAAGTCTAGCATCACCCGGCCACCCAAGGAGTACCTAAGTGCAACCTGCTGCACTACTTCAAGCAGAAGTAGGTTACTTGTCTGACTACTTAAAGTTCATAATGGAAAGGTCTTCTTCCTTCCACGACAAGTCTCAACATTGTTTTCCTAATTTCTTCATTGATCCTGTTCTTTTTCTCTTTTATTAGTTTTCTTTCTTCTTTGATTCTCTGCTGACTTGCCTTTTCTTTCTTTTTTGGATTCTTTCTCTTAACTTCTTTTTTCTTCATTTTGGTTGTTATGTCTTCTTTCTTCTCCTATTCATTAATCTTTTCACATTGCATTCTCCAAACCTGTTCATAGAATGTGTCTCATGCTGTCTTTGCTATTCTCTCTATAAACTGTTGTCTTGCTTTGATATTTAGGAGTTGTGTTAATCTTTTTTGCGTTTTTTCTGGAATTAGGTCTTTGATTAAAGCTTCTCTTATTTCTATTTCTTCTGCTTCACTTTTTCTGAAAAGTGCTGTATATAATACATATGGTGGAATGTGGGTTTTTTCCTCTTCTTTCAACCCTTTCCAGGCTGTTACGATAATCATTTTTTGGATTCGTTTCCAAAGATTTGCTTGCCTTTTGTATGATGCCAAATACGACTGTGTTTCTTTAACTTTATCTTGACATACTTGACATTCTGTTGTTGTGTATATATCTGGTCACCTTCTGTTAAGTTCTTCTAGGATTGAAAGTTTATCTATTATATACTTAATAAATATGCATCTTCTTGTACTATTTCTTTTTGTTGTACTGTGTATCCCTTTAGTTCTTTAAGTTTTTTTCAGAGTTGTATCCAATTATAGATTGTGATCTCTGTTTTTGGTTCCAACTTTTTAATTATATTTGTTTCTCTCCATTCTGCGCCTAATCTTGCATTTGTTACCTATTTGCATAACAGTCTTGCTGAGATGTCAGTTTGTCTGTTTTCTCACTCTAGGCAGTACTCTATCTCTTTACAACTGACTTTTTCTATCTGTATTATTTTTTCACTTGTTGTTCTCTTTTTTGTGAGACTATCAGCTTTGTTGTTTCATTTGTTCTTGCTATGACTTTTGACTTTCATCAACTTTATTTGTATCTTTTTCATATTAATAAGATCTATAATCTTCATTATCCATATCACATTTTTCTTCTTAAGGATGTTCGTTTTATCTGTTTGCTCTAAACCTCTACTAATATTCCTTATTGCAGTATTAATGTCTGTATATATTACTACTTGTTTTTCTTTTGGTATCATTAGAATTGCTGCCCATATTGCTGCTAATTCTGTGATTGTCGATGTTATCTATCCTTCTAGCCCTAGTGATATTTCTTCCTCTGGTCACTCTTGCATCTTATTTGTCTGAATCCATCCTATACCTATGTTCTGAGCTAGTAATTCCTCTCTGGTCTTTGTACT